CTCTTTAGTTACATTTTTCTCTTAACTCAGAGAACATGGTGCTGAAGGGCAGGTAGTAACAACACAACCTGAAAATTGGGTAAAAAGTTGTCACATATAAGCCTCCAAGTATATTTGTAACAAGATGCTCTTGATGCTTCAGCAAAGCACGTGCCAGGAAGACTGGGCTGTCCCCTTCTAAGAAGCTAGTACACGTACGCAGTACTGACAGTAAACGACTCTGGAAACAGATATTACTTTCCGATTTTCAGACTTGTTTACCGTAAACTAAAACACAGAATTATCATTTCAAAACTGCACAAACAGCGGGTTTTTAAAGGAAAAAAATGATTGTGAGTATATTTTCTATCCTTAGAAAAAATCCTCTCTGGTCTATTTTGGATGCTCCTTGACCTTTTAGGATTGCAGGGGACAGAAGAATGACACGAAACCACCTCTCATGGAAAGACGCAGTGGAGGCAGTATGGTCCTGCACAGCTCATGGGATCCACTGGAAGGCCCTTTTTTGTCGTGTTCCCCACACCTCCAGATACGAACTAACTGAAAACAATTTCAAGGGGTGGTCTAGGCACTAATGTTTAGCAGCCCTTTTGTATTGTGTAAGACTCATTTTCAAAACTAGGCTGGGGATCTTTACAGCAAATAAATAAAACCTTTTTTAATTTCAGTAAATATTTTAAATTGTAGTCTTCAGTAGGAAGACTAGTACGAGTAAACGCTTTAACACAGAGAAGTGAGTCTTGAAAAGTCAGCATTTGTTAAAAATAACGACAAATGAAATGGAAATGTTTTCTCTATGTCTACAGCACGTAGTAATGGTCCTTTCCTGTTGAGTAAGAGTTGTAAGTGTCTTGCGAGGAAGAACCTTGGGCGAATGCTACAAAGTCATTCACCGGACAACTTTGTAGAATGAAGCGTGATTGTGCTTTTCTTTTAGTTGCAAGGAATTTTCTTACTACTGAGGCAAGCAAAGCACTGAGATGTCTACAGAGGTAGCCAAATTTTAATTTTCTTTAGCAATAAAAGATGGGCAAATGAGACTGACAGAAGAACAGTGCAGTTGATGATGCCACCTGAATTAAGGGTTTAGGTTAGATGACCCGAGATATGCTTCCCAACTTTTATCATCACTGCTTCTTTAATACAGACATACGCAATGAGCTATAATAAACACTCCGAATGACTGCCAAATCAACTTAAAAAAAAGAAGTATTAAGTATTATATACACTAATTATATTTTCTATCTGCCTACCAAGCCAAAAAGTATGTGTTAGAACTAACTGCATGCGGTGGTGCAAGAGGGGAAGAAAGCAAGCACATCATGCAATATGCCCTGACGATAAGGTCAGGGACTGTAGGAAGGCCTCATGACACATAAAAGCTGCAGGCAAGTTAGATTTGTAATTCTCAGAATTTTTGTATTGTATCTTAGTATGTTCTATTTTTTTGTCACTTGTTTACAAATATATTTTAAAGATTTCTTTTTTTCAAGGAATATAAATTCAATAAATTTTATGTTAAAGCACTAAACAATTCTAACTGAAGTTGTGATCACTGAAGTTACATTCACTACTTTATGGAAATCTCTAAGAAAAAGATGCACTACAAATATTACGGTTACTTCAGGATACAAGGAGTCGACACCTACTAAATGTAAGTAGGAATTAACTGAGATGCTTTGTTACGAAGTTGTTATCACTTCAAGTCCCCACAGGTCCCCAGATACTAGATGCAGACATGCTTATCAAACTACTTCTTTGGGGAGAGAGGAAAGATAGCATTCGAGACAGAAAAAAGAACAATTTTAGGGCAATTTTACCATTGACCTATTTGAAGCAGCCCCGAGTATGAGGAGCAGTATGAGCAGAAATTTGAGGAAGACCAATAGTAGGCACAGATTGAATGAAAATTGTCACACAGGTGCCGTTACCGTATACAATTCCCTAACTATTATATCTCACACAGGTATATAGTACTCCCTATTATCTACAAAACCTGATGCTAGGGAAAATGTTCAAAGTTAAGTCCACAGCTAAGTAATTTGCTGAATTTTATTCTAAGTCATTGACATAATATGAATTCATAAGATAATTTGGGCCTGATAGGTCTCTCACAGCAAATGTTTGTGATCCCATGACAGCTTAAATGAAATAAACTTTGGTACTGTGAGACAGGTCTGAGTAGCCTCTAGGGATACCATGCAGACAAGCTGCTGCTGATTCGGTTTTGCTGGTGACCACTGTATTCATATAACTAACTGCACCAAATGAGAGATGAAATCATGTATTTGTATTTTAAAATACAATTGTTTGTGCATTGTATTTTGTGTAAAGATACTCTGTACATCTATCAGCCAAAGAGAAGGCTGATACACTCTGTTAAAATGTGTAATACAAGTAAAAATGTTGAGTTTTGACACTGCAAACCTCTTCAGACTCAATTTATTTGCTTTTACAGCAAGCTCTTTGTAGTACTAGATCTCCAGCAGCAACACTATTAATATATACCTAAAATACTTGCCATTTCTCCAGTTCTTTCTCTGCTTTGGACACATCAACAATCTGTTGAAGTAAAAAATTACTGATTCAAGGTGACAATTTTTGAGTTACTGAATAGGTACTTAACCTATTATCATCCTATCACACTGCCATTATAACCATGACCAAGAAGGCTACATTCCAGATCTACAATTATATTGTTGGCAAGAAAGTTACATTACTTCGTTTAGCGATAATGTGAACTACAGTAGACCTACCCTTGAGTGATAAGATAATTTTGGGGAAGATTTATATTCTCCCTGCACACTCTTCAAGGAAATTTCATGTCTGTGGTGACAAACAGGTTTTCTCTATGTAAAATCTTAGGAAAATACATTTATAATAAATAAGAAACCAGATTTCAATAATACTAAACAGACATTAAAGGTCTTTTGCCTTTTTTAAGAAGATTTTTTATGTATGATCGAAGTTTATACAACACTCCAGAAAAGCCATCATGTGTTAGACTGAAAAATAAAATCAGAAGCATTTTCTGTCATATTGGTATACATGAAAAAACGGGAACGTTAATGTCTTAGAAAGTGTATGTCCAGCTTTGTACCGTTACTCATTTAACAAAGCAGAAAATAAGATACTATACTGTAAACAAAAAGCTACAGTAAAGGACATTTTGAAATTTACACAAGTTTGAGTTCATAAACATTTTGGTTGCTCCATAACAGTTTTCATATAAAATGAATAAAAAACCCTTGGACAGCTTTCATCACTCTTGACTACTTTTCACTTAAATGCACACAGACATACTTTATACAGCAATATACCGATGCACTGTAACATGGATATTAAACTATGATTACTGCTTTTTAAATGAGATCTGTATTATCCAATCAATATTATCTGTAATTGACATACTCATACATTATGTATTCCCATCATGTTGTTAAGTATAAAACCATGAAAATATAACTTTACATTATTTCAGTTATATACATCAGTTCAGGCTTGACAAAGAATTTTTACGCTATGATTTTTAGAGGAATAAGCCCAGAGGTACAATAAATAGCTTTCCACTGTATACAGTAATGCAATTCTACTTTTTTAAAAACTTTAGATTACCATATGAATATTATTTTAGTTTGGTCAGTCTAGCATTGAACATTAAAAGTCGGAATGCATCCCCCAACATTCCTGATGAGGAGTAATGCACAGAACACCTATGGATTGCAGATGTGTCAAGAAATGGTTCAGTTGAATTATGGGGAAGGTACTGGTACGTTTGACATTACAAACACTGTGTATAACTCTTTCGCTGACTGCATAGAGAGTATACACTGTGTTCACATGCCTGCAGAAACAGGCTCAGAGCTTCTATCACAAGAAGGGATTTCAAGCTTCAGATAAATGCTCTGTCTGCTCCAATGTTCAGTAAATCTTTTACTTAAGCCTAAAAAACGGATTCCAACTAAAACTGCAAGTCATATTTCTAATTTTATTGAAGTCCAAAATAAAATAAGAGGTTTACTGATACCGCATGAGGCAATGTATCCACAGTGCAGAAAAACGTAAGCCTTTGAATCAAATGTACGGCATTTTATCTACAGGGAAAGCTAGAGAAACATTATGTTGCTCTGATATGCATTAGCATCTAAATTAATGTTATTGCACCCCTCCTAGGATTCCTTTTTGCTTTGTGAGTTATCATTTTTAAATACACATAATTAAACCGTATGGTAACTTCAGATTGCAAAGAATATTCATAATGATTAAGATTCAGGAGAGTTTTTATATTTTCATCAGTTCAGAATTGCATCTAATTCAAGTTATTACCAAACAATTTAAAAAGACATTGCCAAGGTTTTGGGTTTTTTCATAACAAAGAACTTTACTAGCTACTGCTTTAACAGTTTGAAAACTGCTTTGTTAAAGGAACAATCTGAGAACTGCATTTGTTTCATACTTTAAAAAGATATTTAACACTTACTGCTTGCCATTTATCAATTTTTACCGAGTGTTCTCTCTCTGTACGTGTATTTATGAATGTAATTGTACAAAAGTAGAGATAGATATGAACCAAATCTTTGGATCTTAAGTCCCTGCACGTCAGAGTTAAGAGGAGCTCTAAAACAGCACCTGTCTGACTCCCCTTCAGAGTTCAAAATGCTTATCAGAGCATCACAGCTTGGGCTCATCTTTAGAAAAAACCTGTTGAGCACATTTAAGTGAGCTGGGGATGGCAACACTGCCAAAAACTGAAATACTGACCCAACCTTGACAGTGTCCTTTTAGATTTCACTCTTCATAACCCAACTGTAGCGATTAAAATTAATGGAACACTTGCAAATAAAACCATAGAAAAAAGTTTATTTCAAATGTCAAGCATTGCCAAGTAATTTCATATTAACACCAAATGTTAAAGAATAGGATATACAGCAAAGTTTTAATAACAATATTAAATTACAAGATATGAACCTTTTAATTACTATTTCTTCCCTTCTCAACAT